CCTTACATATCATCTAGTCCTGACCCCCTGCCCTGGGCAGGGACACCTCCTCACTACATCAGGTTGCTCAAGGCTCATCCAGCCTGGCCTTGAACACTGCCAGGGTTGGGGCAGCCACCATGTCCCTGGGCAACCTGTGCCAGTGTCTCACCACCCTCACAGGAAAAAACCTTTTTTTTCCAAAATCTAATCTAAACTTCCCCTCTTTCAATTTGAACCCATTACCCCTTGTCCTATCACTGCAGTTCCTAACAGAGTCCCTCTCTGGCTCCCTTGTAGCCCCTTCAGATACTAAAAAGTTTCTATGAAGTCTCCATGCAAAGCAATTATAACTGTGTATTTTAATTCAGTGACACACACAATGTCTTCTCCTTTTTTACTTTTCCTGCTTTGCTTTCATTTCCTCCTATTTTGAGGATACAACTGAAGTCGCTTTCTTTTCTTCCCCATTTTTTTGTTTGGAGCTGTCAGTGTTTTCTTGCACTTGCTCTCTGCTGTCTCCATCTACAAACTGATGCTGGCTGAATGCTGTGTCATGGAGGTGGTCTGTGTGAGGGGAGTAAATTCCTTCGTAGGAGTCATGTCAGATCAAGCTCATTCTGCTCTTTTGGAGCATCATGATGTTGCATGATATCAAGGCAGTCCATAGAAATGAGACTCAGATCACCTTTCTCTGCCTTTTTCACATCCCTGTTTCTGTCAAGGGAGTCATTTCATCTGTTCTCTATATTTTACATTTTTTTTCACTCTTTTTACTAATTCTTCTGCTACAGTCCTTTAAAAAAACCCTCACAAAACAAAACAAAAACTCATGAGAATATCCAAACATCTCTACTTTGAGGTTTTCTGATGTTTCTAGCCTTTGATCACAGGAGTGGATACGACAGGTTTACCTGACTTCAGAGTCTCAGAGGGAACAAAAACACATAGTGCAGCATTTGACATTGAAGTCTTGTACAGCAATGAGTTCAGAGTCCTGGTGTAACTTTGCATCTTGGGGCCAGTTTCATTCCTTTGTATGGCTTTATTTCCTGGCTATCATCTTGTTTCTCTGTTCTTCAAGTCTCCTAATTTATACAGGTTGTTGGTGTTCTCCCTTTCTGCGTTTTTACCTACTGCAGCAAAACCAGAAGAGATGTATTTTTCCAATGAAAAGTCATTTAACTTGTGACTTGTGTTTCTTTGGCCCTAACCAAGATGAGTTTCCACCATGCTGAGAGATGCACATACATCAAATCAGACTTTTTTTTGGCCACTCAGAGCTATTCATTTAAGTGCACATCAGGAACAGGTCAGTGAAGCTCAAATCAAATCAGTTCCCAAAATAGCCATACTGGGTAAGAGACAATGCTGGTCCTTCCAGGATCCTGTCTGCTGCAGTGATCAATAGTCCTGCTTGGAGAAGTAATGGAAGAACAGTCAAATATAGAATGACCCTTCTACTGTATAATCTTTGTGACAAATGGAGTGTCAGGAACTTCTCTGGATGGAGATGATATCTGCATTTTAATAGCTTTTCATGGACTTTTATGCTATGCTGAATCTCCAGTGCAATATTCTCCTATCATTGATGGATTCTTTTAGCTCACATATACATCTATCCTCTCTAGCATTTTACAGCATATAATTTATTTAAAAAGGACAAGAATTCTCTCTTGTTTTAAACCTGCTTTCTCAAAAGTTTATTGGCATCTTGTGTTGTGAGAAACAGTAACTCTTGTCTTCTCATCTTCTCCAGCAAAGATGTGTGTGATTTTTACACACCTTTATTGTATGTCCCTTCAGTTGTCTCTTTTTCAGGCTGACCAAAAACAGTTGGAAAAGTCATCCTAGATAATTGTTGCCCATGATTTAATGGCTAAATAAAATAATGATCCCTGTTAGTTTGTGGTAGATCTGCTTTCCTACTAGAATTAATCTGTTTTTTTTCCTTAAGAACTCAGGTGATAGGATAGAGCAATGGCTTATCATCTCAAACATGGTAAGAGTGGGAGCACCCTCTGCAGGGCAGAACTAGAACTCAGAGCCACTTTAGCAAGTTAGAGAAGAAAATGCTAGAATAAGATAAAGAAAATCTGTATTTTTGGGTTTAGGTAGAAAGTTATTTGTATAAATGCATCATGAGGGAGATGGTTGGGCAGTGATGAAGAGAATTAAAGCTGAAAAGTTGAAGATAAGTCAACAAAGATTTATAGCAATGAAAAAGGCAACTGTCAGAGCAATTTGTGGAAAAAAAGGTAGCCTGGCAAGGCTTGTGGTGTATGTTCTCACCTGGTTTTGGTGTAGGACCCAGCTGGAATACAGTGTCTGGTATTGATCACCTCATTTAAAGGAAGATGTAGATTATTTTGAGATCCAAGAGGAGTTCAGTAAAAATTATCAGGAAAAAAAAAGATTTTAAAAATGTCCAGGCTTTTCATTAAAAATAGGCAAGTCTAAAAGAAGCCATGGTAACAACTATCAAATAAATAAAAGTTCATAGCCAGGTGATAAGTTTTCTCCTTGTCCACTTGTTGATTCAAATAACAGGGATCAGAATAGATTTAACATAAGAAAAATGCCCTAAGAAAACATTGCCAGCACACATAGTAAAACCCTGGAGTCAGTAGTCTGAGTGTTGCAGAGGCAGAGTATTTCTGCCACTAGGGTTTTAGGGGTTTTCAGGACAAATCAAACATCTGTCAGGGGTACTTAGGTCTAATTGATTCTGCTGTACAGCAGAGCTGGACTAAGATGACCTCTTGGGATTACTTTCAGTATTCTTTTCTCTGGTTTGGTTTTTTTTTTTTAATAATTTGTTCTGGATATGCTGAATTATAAATGTATTAAATACTGCTTATATAGATTGTTGATTAATATTTAATTTCATTAAAGAATGACATCAAAACTGCAACTGAAAATCTACTTAAGAAAGGAGTTAAACATAAGCAGGTTAACCTCTGGGTTTATTCCAAGGTTGCTCCAAGCTCCATCCAACCTGGCCTGGAACACTTCCAGGGATGTGAACAGTTGCAGATATCTGCATTACTTGTTGATTCACAGAAGCCTCATCTGTAATGAGTCACAGATTTTGTCACTGTATGACTCTTGTCTTATTACAGAATGTGTTTTTTATACATATTAAAGCTGAAAGGTGATGGCATACAGGTTACTTTGGAATCATTGGGTTCAAATAACGTGTCAGGGAACCAGGGAAAGGAATGATCAATTTATAGAGGGAAGGAATGTCCATGGAAGGGGAGTCAGGTGGAGAGGGGAAGGATGGTGAACACAGAGCAGAAGAGAATCCTGCTTCATCTAAAAGCCAGTGCCAGTATTTTCTGTTTGAAATGTGCAGGGCAGGTTTCTTCACATGGAGCCACCATAAAAACATCACTCAGCCATTCCAAACTATGTGTATTCATCTCTTTGACTGCCATTATATATATAATTTACATTCCAGGTTTTGCTGAAGGCTAAAGCACTGGAG